AGAGATCCTAGAGCTATTGGCCAGAGATGTATGGTTCGAGACAAAGTATTAGCACCATTGCATTGATCATTAGCACCACTGAAGCATCCAGGCCTAGTTACCTTAGGCTCTCCTCCTTCCGTGACAAAGCTGCTCTTCGGTTTGCCATTGCTGAAGAGTACACACCAGAAATAGGGGCCACCACCATCGGAGCCACTCACAGCAGCACCGACCTCCGTGTGATTCTTGCTGTTGAGAATATCCAAACTCTTGCTATTTCTAATAAGAATATCGTTGAATGCTTCAGAAGGTTCGGCATACTTGGATTGGCAAGCAAGAAATCTTCCGGTTATTTGAGCAAGTGATGACGCCTTCACATCACAGTCGGGGGCAAAAGTTTCGGCGAATTCAGATTCAGCAGGTTTCTTGGCATCTGGCCCTCCAACTGCACTACATTCACCTTGGTATGCTTTAATATATTGCAAAGCCAAGCATGCCAAGCCAGGATTGCTGTATAAGGAGGATAATTTATTTCCGGTCCTGTTACTATTAAGGACAGCTACCAGCTCATCAGCAGGATTATCTGTTACCTTAGCTGTAACTTTTATCAAGAACATATGTGTTAGAAGTTGACCATAAGGGCAATATTGGTGAATCAAGATCAAGAAGCTGTCTGCTCAAGGAATATGCATTGGAAATGACAAGGGTAAATTACATCTAACCGAAGGGACTTGAGAGACATGTTGGTATGTTTTTGGCAAGTACGATCAATTTAAGTATCTAAAACTAAGGAAGAAGAGCCCGAGAAGGGGGTTGTAAGCGTCATTTAGGCTGTGACTGTAATTCTAGCATACTCAGGAAAGATTATCAACAGTAACTATATCTATCAAGAGAGTTTTTTTTTATTATCTATCAAGAGAGTTAAAAGAAGAAAAAGTGAAGATACAAAATCAGGATCCAACATAGTTTTCAAAGGCATAAACTAAAGCAACTAGAAAAAGAATCTTGAGCAGTGTCCTATCATTTAGGTATCTTATCATGTTACCACAAGTTACAAAGAGCTAAAAGCCAATTTGAGCAGCTTCCCCTAGACTACTGTAAACATTTTACTCAAAATCAAGGACGACCCTACTGAACCAGCAAGAAGACTTGTAGCCTAGAATTTGCAGATGAACTAGATAGTTTCTTGTCTGAGCCATATATTCAACATCATCCGTTCCAAACTTCCAATAATTTTGGCTAGGTTAATAAGGCAAGACTCACACAGAATCCAAGGTTCAATTGTTAAGATATACCTTTTGACAATTTCCTAATTGTACAAATAACCTATCCCAGAGCACAATTTTGCACACTACTACTTATGTTTATTGGGGTTACAACATACCATTACCAACATACGTGGGAAATGGTCAATATTGAGCAGCCAAATGATATCATTTAACAAAGTCTCCAAAAGTAGATCTATCTCAGAAACTATGCACTTTATATGTAACTGCTATCCTGTTTATTTTTTCTTTTTTCGATAAGGAATAACTACTATCCTTTTTAATTTCTGATAAGGAATAACTACTATCCTGTTTGCATGAACAAAAAAACATCAATGCAGAAATCACTCAGCACATTATAGTTTATTAAGCAAAAACATACACCAGAACAAGTTGTTGACAAGTCTAAATATACTCCACTGAAGGATCTTTAGGAAAGGACACTGTACTATCTTGTAACTCAATCCTTAAGTAGATCCAAGAGTAGAGGTGGATTTTATGGGTTCAGATTCGCAATTCTACCACATCTCATCTAATTTAATGGATTCAAAACTTAATCTTTGTACATATTTAATAATATTTTGGGTAAAAATACAGGATATGAGTCAAAGCTATGGGTTCTGAATACGCCTACCAAGACTAAGATGGGCACAATAACAAGAATCTAACAGTGGAAAACATTCACCATTAGTTCATTGGATAAACAAAGAGTGGAAACAAACAACGCAAGATCCTTATCAAAAAACCTTCAGTAAATCAGCTCACTCAACACAAATCTACTCAGCAGATAATCAAGAAACTATAATTCAAATAACAATAAGAAAACCCACTTGAAATGTCAGATCACAAACACATATTCCCTCTAACTATACAATGAACAGAACACAAATTAGCAATATATAAACAAAAAAGAGGAATATTTACTTTGAACATTTGAAGCAGAAGCAGAGATGAAGAAAATGCAGAGAAGAAGGAACCATTGAGCCATTGCCATTTCTGTGAAGTAGTCGGTGGGTTAAGTGAGCTTTTCTTAAAGGTATATAAGAGAAGCTAGCTGTTAAGCAGAGGAAGAAACAGCTTGCAGTGGGTCGCTCTGTTAGTATGTCTATTTCGATCTGATGCTTTATAAATAACGCGACATCTTATTGCATTTAATTACTGTAATGCCACCAACCGAAAGCTCATTTCCAACTGATATAATATGTATTTTAGTGACCAAACTACCCTTCAAAATCTCCATGACATAAGACAACCATTTTGCGACTCGAGATGCAGAGTACGAGCTTTAACTTTTTAGTTCTGTTCAGTTTGGTTATTCGACTAATTAGTGGGCTTGATAATTAATTCTGGAATTAAATTTGAAAAGAGTTTATTTTACGGTTGGTTGGAATAAAATTATGATATAACTAATTATAGAATTAGTTATTTAGGAATTGTAGTGTTATTTTATTCATATGGGAGAGTGGGACAACAATCCGGAGATTACTAATCCTGAAATAGTTAATCCTAGGATAACTTGTTTCTCAACCAAACGACCCATAATTGTGTCAAAATAATGTTCAATACCCAAAAAGTAACAACAACAACAACAACAACAACAACAACAACAACAACAACAACAGCATACCCACTATTATCCCACACCATGAGGTCTGAGGAGGGTAGTGTGTACGCAGGTTTTACCTCTACCTTGTGAGAATAGAAAGGTTGTTTCCAATAGACCCTCGGTTCAGGAAATCATAAGCACCCCATTAATGAAAATATAGACAAGAAAGACCAGTACCAAAAAAGTCATATAAAAGCAGAATAAAAACAACAAGGTAGTAAGGTGATCAACAATGAAAGAAAATAACGGTTAGCCATAAAAACTTACTACCAACAGAAAGCGAGACTGCGTGCCAATACTACTGTTATGAATACTCTAAACTACCGACTCTACTACCCTAATCCCCGACCTCCAAACCTTGCTATCAAGGGTCGTGTCCTCAGTCAGCTGAAGCTACACCATGTCTTGCTTAATCATCTCTCCCCACCTCTTCTTTGGCCTACCTCTACCTCTCCGTAGGCCCTCCAATGTCAACCTCTCACACCTCCTCATCGGGGCGTTTGCGCTCTTCCTCCTCACATGACCAAACCACTTAAGCCACGTTTTTCGCATCGTGTCCTCAATAGGGGTCACACCCACCTTGTCGCGAATAGTCTCATTTATGATCCTATCTAACCTGGTGTACCCGCACATCCATCTCAACATCTTCATCTCTGCTACCTTCATCTTCTGGACATGAGCGATCTTGACTGGCCAACACTCATCCCCATACAACATTGTTGGTCTAACCATCACTCTATAGAACTTACCTTTAAGTTTCGGTGGCACATTCTTGTCACACAAAATACCGGAAGCGAGTCTCCATTTTATCCATCCGCCACAATACGATGTGTGACATCTTCATCAATCTCCCCATCCCCTGAATAATAGACTCAATATACTTAAAACTCTCTCTCCTAGGGATAACCTGTACGTCCAGCCTCACCTCTCCTTCCCCTCCTTGAGTCTCGACATTGAACTTACACTTCAAGTATTCTGTCTTGGTCTTGCTCAACTTGAAACCTTTAGATTTCAGGGTCTGCCTCCATACCTCTAATTGTGCGTTCACACCATCTCGCGTCTCGTCAATCAATACAATATCATCTGCAAATAGCATGCACCACGGCACCTCCCCTTGGATGTGGCGCATCAGTACATCCATCACTAGAGCAAACAAAAAAGGAATGAGTGCCGACCCCTGATGCAACCCCATCATAACTGAAAAATGGTCTGACTCCCCACCCACCGTCCTCACCCAGGTCTTTACTCCATCAACATGTCCTTAATCAACCTAACGTAGGCAAGGTACACCTCTAGCCTCCAAACATCTCCACAAAACCTCCCTCGGAACTTTATCGTACGCCTTTTCTAAGTCGATGAATACCATATACAAGTCCTTCTTTCTCTCCCTATATTGCTCCCAGAGGCAGAGCTAGGATTTGAAGCTTATGGATTCGGGATTCTAATCATTTTTAAGTTACTGAATTCTAAATTAATAATTTATACATGTTTAATGAATTTCATCAAACAAATACAGAGTTTGAACCAAAGCTACTGGGTTCGGCCCGTAACTTGCTCTCTAGCTCCGCCCCTGACCGCTCCATCAATCTTCTAACAAAGTGGATGGATTATGTAGTCGAACGCCTCGGCAATGACCAAAAAGGAAGGGGAAGAAAAGAAAGAAAAAAAAAATTCCAATCATATTCAAAAAATAATAAATTAATATTACAGTACCTTTTTCTAAGTATTATTATCTTTTCATAGGAAAACAGCTTGACATTTGTAGTAAAATTATGCAGGACGTGTTGTAGATTTGTAGTTCATGATCACTCTTTTACCAGTTTTTAAGACAATTAAAAAAAGAGGACAAGATTTACTTACGCATTGACATGTAGAATATATGCAAATTATGGTACTATTACTAAGTATCAACTTGAACTATTATATATGTTATATCAAGATGTGACAACTACTTCACTAAAGTTCCTTCAAAAACAACATCATAAAACGTATAATCATTATATTAATTTGAAATGCAAAGTTTATGGTGCGTATATGTATAAGATTAACCAATCCCATGAATTAAGTAAGTTGTCCCACACCATACATATTTAAGAAAAATAAATACTGTATAAGATATAAGAAGCGTACACCATTGACAGCTGTAGTTTAAAGGGTAAAATTGTAAATTCAGGAGGCTGAACTGGAAGAAGAGAAAAAACTGGATAAGAGTAACGCTGCTGCTCCTCTCCACTGCCAAACGCGAGATGACAATTACCATCTACAACCCGGCGCATGTTAGCACCGGCAGCTTAAATTTGCGTATCCTCCGTTCTCCGCCGCGGCGAACCTTTTCGCCGGCGCGATGTCACCGCAATTTTAGCTTGAGTTGCGCTTTACTCCCGGAGAAAAGGCGGGAAAGCAGACGATCGGTCACCGTAGCCCTCGGAGTCTTGCTTCAATGGCTCTTAGTACCTAAAGGTGATCCCTCTCATTCTATCAGTGCTAAGTGCTAACGTGCCTCCGCCAGTGCAATGCGCTAGTAATTACATTCGTAATTCTCAAGTTACGTATAAGTCCGCGTTTGCCTGCATTAGATTATTATAAAAGTGGCCGAGGTCGATATTGCTGCTATTATATATGCAAGCATGAAATTATCTTTGATAAACTGTAATCATTTCTCTGTGTGTGTGCGTGTTTATTTATTTTTATTTTTTCCTTTTGAATTTTGTTTTGGTTTGCAGATGCAGGAGCAAGCCCTTTTGACAAGTATGTTAAGAGGTGAGCACAAAAGTTGTTGAGTTTTGGAATAGATTGCATATATAATGTTTATGTTAGTTGATGAAAAGATGATTATTTGCATGAGATTGAGTTTAAATAGAGTAACGAGGTCAGTGAGTGAGGATTCAATCCCGACTTGTTTGGGACTAAGGCTTACTTGTTGTTGTTGATGATCAAAAGATGGCTAATTTTCAAAGGTGGATCCAGCATATAAGCAGTAAAATGCTTACACCCACTGACTCAAGTTACACATCTATATGGAAATTTAAAAGAAAAATTATAAAGAGGAGGACCCAGTGCATTTAAATCATGGATCCGCTTATCAAAGGTGGACCTATATGTAGTATTGAGGGGTCACCGGACCCCGTAAATTTTGACAGAAATCTTGTGTATGTATATATATGTATACCTTGAAAATGATTATATAAATAACTTGGCACCCTGAACACTAAAAGCCTTTAGGGACACTGATTAATTGAGCAAAATATGGTGTCCCCGTCACGTTAAAATCTTGGGTCCGCCTTTGCCGCCTATACTATGGTAGCGTTCCTATAGCATGTAAGTTGTGCGTGCTATTAAACTATATCAAGTGGTAGAGTTAGGCTTGATTGTCACATCTATGTAATTGAATGGGACAGAAACTGTGTCATATTCTACTCCATTAAGATAATATGTTTCTCTTTTGATAACAATAAATTTTATGATGTATCTAATGACTTGAGTTGCACCTAGATTTTTTTTTTGTTGGTGAATCAGTAGTTTGCACTTTGAAAATTTTAGTGAAAATCAAAAAAGGAAAGAGAAAATTTTCTAGTATGATAACGAAAGAGGTGAGCGTTGATAGTGATTTTGTTTTTCAATTAGCCCGCCAATTTGAATGAAGTTACATCATTTTCTTTCTTCCCATGCCTCTCTCATTCTCAGGTCAAATTTTCAAAACACTAATTTCTCCTAGTGATGTTGACTTTCAAAATGCCGAATGTTTTGGGTGTTCGTAAGCTTTGTTTTCTACTTCCAATGATGGAATTTGATTTTAGGGCTAAATTTCGACCCCAGCTCAGGAAAAGCGGCTTCCATGCTTTGCTTTTATTTCATGAGTGAATTAGAGGATTGCCTACTTTTGTGTTTCCACGACTACTGATATTTGTGTCGATACTTAAGATCAAATAGCTTGTATATCTCGGTGGTATCAGGAGCCTGGGTTCCAGATGGCTCCACCATCTTCATTAACTTCCAACACCTCTGTAACTAGCTTCCACATCTGTCAACCTGCTTTATTTAGCTACGGCGACTGGTGGAATTAGCTTCTGCTTGAGTTATTGCCTTTGTGCATTCAATTAGTTTTGTAAGCCTATGATAGTTTGTGATTTAGTTAGGCTTGAATTGAATTGTTGTGCTCATGTTATTGTCAAAAATTTTGATTTGATAACTAGGAAAAAGCTTGATCCGCTGGAGACTTATATACCAGCTGTGCTGTTGGCGGGGGTGCAGATTAAGGAATTAGGTGACACTTGTTTCTCGCTGTCACTATTTTTTGTTTCCTAGCATGTAAAAGCTTAGTAATGTCTATAGTTCATGCTGTGATCCACCGTGTTTATTTAGCCTGAATATTTAAGTGATTTTTCCTGCAGTACGGAGAAATATTGGAATTAAACGATNCACCCCCAAAAGAAAACAAACAACAACAACAAAAAAGCAAAAATAACGGAAAAGCCAAAAACGATAGCCATCCTCTAATATTGACCCAATTGGATCATGAGCACCTTATGAATCAGAGTGAATGCTGTTTCTGTAATAACCTTCTAATTTCTCTTCTTGTTAAAAAAAGTTTGAAACACCATGCTCTATAGTCTGACTGCCTCAAATATGTGCACATGATCACTGAAACTTTTAACAGTCTATCCATCAAGGACTACTGATTAAAAAAATCTGTCATCGAACTATCCACTGATATATGAAGAGAATGCTTTCAACTTTGGTGGCACGTCAGTATAACCTTCCCTGTGATAGTAGCTTATATAAACTATCCTAAGATATTCTCTTACAAATCTTCCTCATTTTCTGCTCCAAACCAAGTGGGAAGAGCACTCGTCTCTCTTCCTTAGCTTCAAGAATATTACAGCATTCCCGTTCCTTCCTGAAATCTCCTTGTTGCTTCTGGAGATTTCAAAATGAAACTATTCAGGAATGGGTGTTTACCATCTCTCGCACACTCATTTTAAACACGGTTCCACTGATGAACTTACTGATATGCGGAGACCCATAATTCTGGGTTCTTGCAAGGTTTCACATTCTACTGACTGCTATAAAATCGGAGTATGGTTAAACTTTAAATTTTTTATTATAAGATTTCACAGCATGATTTACATGATTTTTTTGGCATTTTATAGAGAAATCTTTGGAGGCTGATCAACCTAAATATGGCGATTGCCGGAATATATTGCGTTCTGGTCCTGCATCATCTCTTCGTGTCAATATTCGAGCAGTAAGTAAAGGTTTTCCCATGCCCCATCTCAACTCAATGAATGTTTTTTTCTAATGGTTGATAATTATCAGTTTCTGTACAGCTTTTTCCAAAATTAGTAATGTATGAAGTTGATTTTGTTGATATAGACTTATGAATGCTCCACTCTGGTCTTGGAGCACACTATATCATCCTAAGCATGAGAATTATTATTGTACCAGTTGCATTGTATGATATTTGTTGATGAAGGAAAGTAAAGTAAAAAGGAAATTAAGAAGAAAAGGGTAAAGAATTGCACCGCTGTCACAAAGTTGTCATTTTAGTTTTTTGAGAGTCAACTGCATTAAGACTTTGACCAAGATTTTTTAACAATTTGTAAACATTTTGATACAATTTTTGATCTTGCAGTATGTTTCATGTAATTTTTAAATATCCAACTATTACTTTCAAATCATGAATTTAAATATTTGTCAACTTGACACTCGTAAGAAAAGATTTGAAGAGAACAAAGCAAGGATTTCTTCATTGGTCTATGACTCCTCTGCTGTGCCATTTCTTCAGCACCGTGCAAGTATGAACATTGAGTATTTGAGTAAGCTACACAAGTCCAAGCTAATTATCCAAATTAGAGAATCGGTTAACAACAGAAGACCATTCAAGTATTTATTGCTTTGACATGCTATCATCTGTCTATCAAAAGTAAGGCAAAAATATCAAAAATGCTCAAATTTTTGTTACCAAGGAAAGAAAAAGTCTAGTTACATAAAAAATAAAGAAACTGCAGTTCTTTAAATAAATTTTGTTGCTGGTTTGAAAATGGCATTGCACTGAAGTTAGATATTCACATGTTCGACTAATTCTAGGCAATGGCGTTTCTTGTTCTTTTCTTTCTATTTTGTTATTTAGTTTGTGGCAATTTTTCTTAATTCACATAGACAGAGAAATACCAAAGATTTCTTCTCACTACAAAAAGATGATCATATCTTGAAAAAACTCTCTTATCTTTGCATTCAATTACAGGTAGCACAATATGCATCTGATGATGGAAATGGTGAATCAGCTTCCAGTGATGTTGATCAGTGTCTGAGGTACTACATCAAATATTTTAACTGTCAACCTGAACTTTCCTGTTTAAATACAATGTAATGCTGTGATAATAATAGTTTTGCAGTTCAGATTTTCTATTAAATTCATGCACGGGATGATCAGACTATCGGGTACAAGATGTAAGAAAATTTTAAAATTTTCTTGGAATACTGATGATTTCACTAGGTCTTTGTCCCAGAGAGAGCTACTTAATTGATTCTTGATCCCTTTAAGGTTGATTTCTATGGTAATGACATTTGATTGTTCAATCGTAATTTTTTCCAGTAAGCTTCATGACTTTTTTTTTCCTTAAGCAAGGTTGGCTGTGAAAGTTCATGCCATGAATGTGCAGTTATTGTAATTCCAAGCACACTGCCAAGGGAGATGGAACACCTTCAAATTCATGACTAGAGGAACATGCTTTTAATATATCCGTGTACCTCGCTAAACAAAAAGGACAAATGTTTAACCAAAATGCAAATTGGACCATCATATTGCTTGTAACTTTTTGTTTTCACTCTCACATGTCGTTACTATTGCTTCTATTCTTTCCTGCAGTGCATTGGAAGGACTTGACTCATTGCTTTTGCGTGCATCAAGAAATGATCCAGGGGCCTCAATTGACTCGATGAAGGCAAAAATTACTACTGCTCTAAATGCATTGGACAGGTCAAAGTTCTTTTTTTATTTATTTATTTCTGCCTTGGTGATAATCAATTGTTCAACTGCATCTCAATTCCAAATCAATTAGGTTGGTTATACATATATGTATTCTCTATAGCCATTTTACTCTGTTCAGGTAAAATTACTACTCCCTCCGTTCCAATTTAAGTGAACCTGTTTGACTGGGCACGGAGTTTAAGAAAAAATGAAGACTTTTGGAATTTGTGGTCCTAAACAATTCAAAAAGGGGCCAGAGTATTTGTGTGGTTATAAAAGCTTCTCATTAAGGGTAGAATTGTAAGTTTAAGCAAAATTATTTCCAAATTTAGAAAGGGGTCATTCTTTTTGGAACGGACCAAAAAGGAAATAGGTTCACATAAACTGGAACGGAGGTAGTAAATAATTTGTCTTTCAACGCAACTCAGGGGTTCGCTAATTCTGAATGTATTCATACACAGTTAACTAGTTTAATCTGAACCAGTTATACGCTTTTGCTAGCTAGTTCCCAACCAGATTCTCTAGAAGGTTTTGAAGTGTTTTATCCCCTTTTCCTCTTTCAGTCTTCTGAAAACCGTCCCAGCTGATATGCTTGACAAGGGAAAGATTGTAGCTGATTCATATTTCTTTGCTGATGAGGAAGATGTAACACCTGAGAAACTGGACCCGAATCTGAAGCAACTGGAATCAATACTGTAAAGAATATGAGAATGCTATGGCATTAGCTTTGGATACGAAGCCTCTTTCTGAACCAGGTCTGACTGTTTCATCCTATCAGAGTTTTTATATTGCTCGAAAACAAAAACCCATGAGTAGATGTGGTTTGGGAAGGGGGGCCGGGGTTCTCTTACTCTCTTAATTGATTAAACATAAAACAGAAGACCCAAAATATGCTCTTGTATTTAGTTTTCTTTTTTAATTCTAAAGATTGTATAGGATATCTTCCAATATACTCTAAATTTATAGCAGTATTAACTCTGAAATACCTCTAAACATAGAGTAAATTCGCTTTAACTTTTTAACTTTTTGACGGTAGATAAAAATTCTCCCTTTTCCTCTATTGAATGGAAACATAACCCTTTCGACCTCAAGGTCGACAGCAAAAAATAAGATGATTGTTGCCGCTATCAAAGTGTAAAAAATGGGTAGCAGTGCATTTTCTTTTAACAATTAAAAGGTTACCTAATAGTAGCACATAAAAATTGAAATTCCCGACCTTTTTTCTCTTTAGCTTTCTATGACTTTCTGTCTCTTACTCTGTTCTTACATATATCTTAGTCCAATTACTTAAAAATATCTGTATTATTTTGAAGAACAAGAGACTGTGCGGATGTTACAATCCTTTATAGGTGTGATGCACTAGCTCCTAAAATGTTAAAAATCATCAGAGGACCTGGAAGGAATTCTGTGTCTCACTGAAGGTGAAGGGAAAAAATCTCGCTGCTCTCTTAGCTAGTTAACTTTGAGGACCTTCAAATAATGTGATCGCAAAGCTGACCCAACCAACAGCGATGAACAATTTTCTGATCCAATCCTCCAGCTCTATTCTGGTGGCTACTTCTAAGTTCTAACTCCGAGCCTCGAGCTTTTCTTCTTTCTACGGACAAACAAAATATTGCTTTCTTTTTTATAAGCGATCTAATATTCACAATGCAGTTCATTTGAAAGCTTCACATTACTTGGAACTTATTAGCGGTAAATCCGAATCATAAGTCAAGGTGGTGCCCATGCTCATATTTTCCGGTTCATCCCAATTACTGCTACCTCATTTGAGTTTGTCCCTGCCTTGGTTGTTGATAGAAATGTTCTGAAGGCTGCCAAGTAGTGCTAGCAGATCCTCTATCTCCCAATCATTCAGGTTCCTCCTTAAACTTGGGCTCCAAGTGTTCACCTCCCAATTCTGAGCGACTGTAGAATTTGGATTAGATGCAACTGAGAATAGTCTTGGGTAAGCATCCTTCAAAGTGCTTTGACCAATCCAAAGATCCTTCCAAAATAAGATATGTTCCCCACTGCCCACCTGGAGAGAGAAAGTATTCCACAATTCCTGATACCCTTCCATAGACCACAACCATGAGGTGTATTAACCATATTGGAGCACCAACGACTATCATTGCCATACTTAGCTTGTACTACTTCCTTCCATAGATTCATTCCTTCTTGATTATACCTCCAAAGCCATTTCATCAACATGCTCTTACTGTGTAGTGACAGATCCTTTACTCCTAGACCCCCAAATGATTTGGGAAGTATTACCTTATCCCATTTCACAAGATGGAATGTGTGATCTTTGGAGTTACCTTCCCATAAGAATGAGCATCTGAGCTTATCAAGCTGCTTTCGAACTTTTGCTGTAAGAGGAAATAGTGACATAATGTAGGTTGGTAAGCTATCCAGTACTCTACTAATAAGAGTTAGTCTGCCACCAAAGGAAAGATACTGATACTGTTGCTGTCAGGAAGCCAACCTTTTTCAAAATTTTCAATGACCACATTCCATACCTCAGTTGATCTATGTCTAGCTCCCAATGGAAAGCCTAGATAAGTGGTTGGGAATGAATCTGTATTGCAGCACATGATCTCAGCCAACACCTCCAGATTAGGTACACAATTTTCTTTTGATGAAGTAAGTGAGTATTATTATCAAAAGTCATCAAGAAGATGCAGATATTACAAAGAAACAGAAAGTATCAGCCCAAAAATGTCAACAAAAGCTCTATCATGAGACTAAGGAGCTGATAAATTCCAAAAAGGATTCGGTGTTATAAACAAGGATAAGATTAACCCAGCTAAAAAGATTAACTAAACATTTGGCTTTAAGAGAATGATTGGCAGTTGAGACCCCATCAAAACATCTCTGATTCCTTTCGGTCTATATACACCACAAAATACAAGCAGGAACCATAGCCCATATCCTTTTTATGTTTTTATCAACTTTCCATGAGCACCAACTCACAAAAGCCTCCCTAACACTACATGGCATAGACCAATGCACACCAAAAAGAGCTAGGAACATGTTCCAAATGTCTGTTGCAATTGAGCAGTGAAGAAACAAATGATTAATTGACTCAGACTTGCAGAGGCACGTGTAACACTTATTAGGTAGCTGAAAATTTCTCTTGATGAGATTGTCTTGTGTTAAGCAAGAGCCCTTTAGAGTGATCCAGCTAAAACAGATAACTTTTGGTAGCAGTTTAGTTCTCCAGATTAATTTAGGTATACAATTAAGAGGGTATATGACACTTTTTGACATGTTAAAGAATACCATTTTAATTTCAGTGAAAACATAATTTCTTTAATTGTATTATTTTTTGCCAATGCAATTTTAATATGGTTTGATTACACTATGGTGTACCCATAAGAATGCGTCCAGTTCATCCTCCATTTCCCCCTCCATCGACCGTATTTTTGGAGGTTCGACTTCCTCCACAAGCCCAATGTGTGTCCCTGTTGTGCTGTTACAATCATCTGCATGTCTCCTCTGGCCCCTGAATCCTCCAATTGTACCCGCCATCCCCTTCGATGTTAGTCAAAGCATCTTCATAGTCATCTACTTCCTCATGTATTATCAGCATCATCTCTTCTTCTTCTTCTTCTTCTTCTACTTCTATGTGGTTTTCCATATCCCTGAAGCTTTCATCTTCATACGAGGACTCCAGCATATTGAACCCAATTTCATAAGTTCTCTATATTTAAGTAGTTTAAGGACTTGGGCCTCAGTAAAATAAGCTTGGGCCAGATGAGGAGCCCTTGTTAAAATTACTGGGTGAAGTACACAACTAGTCTTTAAAGTGGATCTTTAAAGTGGATGGTCTTCAATTTTTGTCCCCACTTGCTTCATGGGCAGAACTTCAAGTTTAACAAGCGTTGCCCTCCGCTTACCCCATGGGTAACACTTTTAACTTTTGACCTTAAAGTTCTGTTCATGGGGCAAGCGGGGGTCAAAAGTTATATATCACCCCCCAAAAAGTATCATATTTCTGTAATATTTGGAAATTACTTGTATTACCCGGCCTATTTAATGAGTCCAGTCTGCATATGTTTAGGCTTGTCGCTTTTGCAATATTTTCCTTTCGGCTTGCATTTATGCGCCCCCCTTCTGTATAGTACAGAAGGTATCAGGTCTTACCCCCTCCTTGTAGCCGTCAATCTAGTGGGATTTTGTTTTAGCCAATCAACTTAATATTTGAAATACAACCTTTAAAAAAATGGAAAAGGACTATATTTGTCCCTTTAATATCGAAAATAAGTTATATCTATCATCAGTTTCTTAGTTAACTATTTCTACAGTAATTATTTTGGATCATATTTGTCCCCACTTGTTAAATGGTGTGGTCCTATCTTAAAAAAGACACGTGACTGGCCTTGATTCAATAAAAAAGACCCACCCCTATTTTAATCAATTTCACCCGTCCCATCTATTTCTCCCAAATTAAACTGAAACCCACACAATATATTGTATTTCTCTTTAAATCTCCCAGCAAACCCACACAAATTTAAATGATTAATTGGATCACTATGCTTCACATTTACTCCTTCCGATCCACCTTAATTGATTTTTTGGCCTTTTTTTTGTAGTCCACAATATATAATTTTTTCAGATATCAAGAAAGAATTTTTTTTTTTTTTTTCAAAGTTGCCCTTGTAGTAAAGACCCTAGGAGAATTTTATGATATTTTAATAAACAAATTAAGGCTAATATGGTCAATTTTATTGTTAATTAATGCTAAAAGGTGACTTTCTCAATATATGTGAAAAGCGCCAAAAAATTCAATTAAAGTGTATCGGAGGGAGTAATATATTTATTTTGGTCCAAAATTAGTGTCCATTTACATAATCAAGAAAGAATTAATTTTATTTTTCCAAAATATGTCCTTATTTACATATTCCAATATGTCAAGGTAAGAATTAATTAAGGTTAATTTAGTGAATATATTTTTTTTTCTCTATGAGTTCGTATTTCCTTAATGGGTGTGCCAAAGGTAAAATGGTCACTCGTTGCGGACCGGAGAGAGTTTAACTTTTCCCTAAAAAAAGAGCTACGGTTTTGATAAGCATATATCTATGTTTATCTTCAAGCTTTCTGCATGTTCGAGATATCTAGTTTAGCTTACTTTATTTGTGAAAGTAAGCCCTTAAGTAGTCCATCTTTCTAGAGCTTGTGCACGCGCATTGTGAAACTTTTGTCGTTGTTAACGCAAACCACAATGTACAACAATTTGCCCATGGGATCGCAGAATGGATGAAATCTTGTAGCCTCTGGAGTCTGGGGGATAAGAATATAACACAGGAGTTGCAGAAACCATGGCTTTAGGAGTGGGCTCTCTATCTGCCCTATATTGACCGTCTGTGTATCTTTTTTTCTTTAGGCGCAGACACACTGCAGTTTTATATTCTGGAATATTAATTTATTCTCATTTGTTTCATGATATACTACAGTAATAGAAAAGGCAGTGTTTCAATTCATGTGAACATAGCCCACATCTCATGCATCCCAGGGCGATTTGGTGCATCACAAGATATCCAAACAATCATTCAACTATACCCGCCACCCCCAAATTAGAAATTTCATTGTTATTCAGGTGAAAAATATCATTGTTTTGAGGACCTTAACTTTTACGTTAATGATATACAAATAAGATTTAATATCAAATATATTTCATTGTCATTGGAAACACAATCAAAAGACAGAATATTATATCCCATTGTAGGTGATATTCACCATATTTCTTTCGGAAGGATTAGGAGAAATGAGCAAGACTTGCCAGTTGCCAATCAGGTTTGGTCGGCTGGGTTAGGGGAAGTGCAGTTAGCCACTAATTAGAGTTTTATTTACTTTTTAGCCATTGTTTAAAATGTATTTACTTTTTAGCCAGTGCTTTAATAAACTTTTATCCGCCTAGACAAAAATACCCATGTGCTAGACATGATGTCCTTAACTTCATGAGTGTTGTGTAAATATTAAGGACAAAGTGTTCTGAATTAGCACCTTCTGTTTTAAACTTTAGGACATCATGTCCTTAACTCCATGAGTGTTGTGTAAATATTAAGGACAAAGTGTCATGTATTTGCACCTTCTGTTGTTAAACTTTAGGACATCATGTCCTTAACTTCATATGTGCAGTGTAAATGTTAAAGATATGGTGTCCTTAAACTTCATGTGTGCAGTGTAAATGTTAAGGACATAGTATCCTTAACTTCATGAGTGTTGTGTAAATATTAAGGACATGGTTCGCTTAATGTCCAGAAGTTAAGGACATTTCAGAAACGTTTGTCCTCAATATTAGTTTCCTAGTTCAATATTTTAGGATGTTTAGAAAATTATGTCCTAACATTTACTTGTTTTGCTTAATGTCCAGAAGTTAAGGACATTTCAGAAACTGAATTTGATTCTCGTTTAATCCCCACAAAACAAACTCAAGTAAGGAATACAGCTTCCCAATAGCAGTACAAACAAATCCCATTAGCTAATTTGATTTAATTTTCACGAAATCAACAAAGCCAAGTGATCGTCTTTCCAAAATCGGCTTTGCAAATTTTCGACAAACCCTAGCAAATTAGATCACAAATGGTCCAAATTTGTAGAATCAACTCACAAAGGTGTTTCCCAACAAATATTTTGAACACCCAATTGATTTTGTATACCCAAATTTTTAGAGAAGAAACGAGAACTTAAGTGTTGGAGAGAAGCGGGGGTTTTGAGATTTTGATAATGAAAAAGAGTTGAAAATAAAAGAGATGAAGAAAGGGTAAAAACATCTATTCATATTAATTATAACAAAGTAATGGCTATATATGCTCAGCATTAAAATTGTTGGCCAAATACTAAATAGCATTTTAAAAAATGGCCACGCCACGCCATTTTCACGCTGGGTTATAAGCATGGGCTGAGCGGAATCGAGGCAGTCATGTCTTTTTTAAGATGGGGCCTAAACATTTAACGAGTGGAGGAAAATATGATCCAAAAGAGTAACGTTTGCAGTAATTTACCAAGAAACTGAAATGGAAAGTAAACGAGGGTGTTTGGCTAAGCTTATAAGCTGGTCAAACAAGTTTATAAGCGTTTTTCGGCTTATTTACGCGTTTGGTAGAGTTAAAAGTGCTTATAAGTCAAAAATAAGTCAAAAACAATAAGCTGATCACCCCCTGCTTATGAATTTTTATCTTATAAGCACTTTAAGTTTGACCAAGACTTTTACTATTTTATCCTTAAAATATTCTTTTTTAGAACAAAACTCCTACATCGATAATTATTGCCTC